ACTTAACCTTACCTCAACGACTCTACTTCTAGGTATTTACCCATAAGAAATGAAAACACATTACCATAAAAAGACCAATGTGATAATGTTTATAGCCTTTATTATAGTAGCACCAAATGAAATTACCTCAAAGTCCATCAACAGACAAATAGATTTTAAAAGTGTTGTAGATTGATACACCAGTATAATATGCATCAATAAAACAAAATGAATTATTGATACATGCAAAAACATGAATAAATCCCTTACACATTATACTGAGCAAAATAAGCCAGACTCAAGAGTACACACTGTATATTCTGCAATATGTTCATTTTGTATGTTTTTCAGAACTATATAGAATTCTAGAACAGGACTAATTATGGTGAAAAAAGTCAAGAATTTATTGCATTGGTAGATTAACTGGAAAAAGAATATGAATGAAGGAATTTTGGGGGGTGATTGGAAATATTCTACACCTTTATAGTGGTATGTATTACACAGGTGTACCCATTTATCAAAATTCACCAAATTTGGGACTTCCCTGGAGGTCCAGTGCTTAAGACTTCACCTTCCAGTGCAGGGGGTGCAGGTTCAATCCCTGGTCAGAGAGCTAAGATCCCACATGCCTTGCAGCCAAAAAACCAAAACATAAAACAGAAGCAATATTGTAACAAATTCAATAAAGACTTTAAAAAAATAAAAATAAATAATTTTTTAAAATTCATCAAGTTGTTCACTTAATATTTGTACATTTCAACATATAGAAATATATCAAAAACTGTAAATAAACAAATGAAAAATGCTAAAAATTTATGTAATTCCAAATAAATCTAAAAGATTTCATCTTCACAGGTCATAGTATGCATGGTAAAAAACTATGAGCTATTAAGAGGTTCCTTTAGAACCTCTGGACCCAATTAACGAATGAAAAATGGGGGAAATTGTTGGACGACCTTTAACCAATATAACATTTTTTTCAGGTGGCACAACTGTTTATACTTAGTAAGTTGAGTATCCTTGGTGTAAGAATAGTCCCAGGAAAATTCAATCCTTAGCATAAAAATATATTTCCATCTTGGAATATGATGGTCAGGAAAGGAACCTGCAGTTTCAATATAAGCTTAGAATGGCAGGGGAAAATTGTGGTTATGCCATGTAATAAAACCACAACTTCTTGGACTAAAAAAATGAAAATGGAAAATCATTCTTACACCACAGAAATTTATTTTTACTGTAATTCCCCTCTCTATCCTCCACCTTCCTTTACAGAAGAAAGGTGGATACTTGAGGAATTTGCTCAAATGGAGCAAGAAAAAAGTTCTTGTTTCTCCAGTGTTAACTAGAGTTTTTCTCTGTCTCTGTAAGGGATGAGGACTAAACTTCCATTTCTTATAAAGATAAAGGGATCATCATAGAGGCTGGATGTGGTTAGAAATTCCACAATAATAAAATGCAAGATTGCCATGTACCTTCCATAGCCAAATGAAACAATGATATTTAGGCTGATTCTTTGTAAGTTGTTTTTGTTATATAGCATGGCTGTATTTAATATATATTGTGGTTTTCACCTCAACCTCATTGTTTTCACCTCAACCTCATTTTCAGCCTACACTTATATTCTTTCTTCAATCCTCCTCATTTTTATCCAAATAACCTTTTTTGGCACTCTGCTCCATGCTTTGAGTAGTTGTTTTCCTTTCAAGTTTCCTAAACAGTTAGAGGACTCTGCACTTATGTGATGACCCAGAAAGCTTGTGGATGACAAAATTGAAGATAAGCATTTAAACAGAGACAATGAATTCCACTGGTCCTGCAAGAGAGTAAGTAAAGCTGCAAGAAATTCAAACCCAGGAAACAGAAAGCTAGCCATTTTTAAAACATTGGCCCTTCTCAAATATTTGGTTTAGTTTATACAAGATAATTTTATAAACAGAAGAGACAGTTTTCTTTCTTCTGAACCAAATGAATGAATCAAATTATATCAATAGTGCCCTCATTCTTTACACCACCATTTTGTGTCTTCTTGAGGAACCCAAAATTATAGAGGAAAGAACAAGGGCTTTCTAGAGTCTGGCAGAATTTTGAATTTACCATGTTGGGAAAGTTGTTTAATCTTAAAAAGTTCTAGTTATCTGCCCATAATTAGGATAATGGTGACCTCTAGGACTGTTTATATTTTACACACACACACACACACACACACACACACACACACACACACACGCAGAGAGATCTGAAAGCAAGGCACAGTGCTTAGCACAAAGCACTAGATAAACTGGAATTTGTTCAACCTGGCTCCTGAATCAAATGACAATTTGTTCATGAGAGTCTTGCCCTCAAGTCATGAGCGCTGCTATTCCCCATTTCATTTGGCCCTCAGGATTTATGGATGCACTGAATGAAAAAACACAAAATGACCATTTCCTGCATTAAAATTCTAACCCATCATTTGGAACACTTACCAAATGCTATTCCTGGTTATTTAGTTGCAAAGGAAATACAGACAGCAAAGACTATTATTGTTTATTATTTTAATAATCCCTATGAAACAATTATTATCCCTCATTTTGCATCAACTCAGAGAGAAATATTCTTCAGAAAATTTGCATATATCAGAGATAACTACCTTGAACAGAGCACCAGGCTATGTACATAGGCACAATACATACTTTTTAAAAGACATTAATTTTTAAAGGATTCTTTGATTTAAGAAAATAAAATAAGTAAATTAGGAAATCAACAATTAAAGAGCACATTTTGTTTCACTGAATAAATGAACTAAATATTTTTATATGGGGGAAAGAATCTCTTAGGATAATGAAACTATAGAATGAGGTTTTGCTTGTGACTCATTTTCCAGAAACCAAAGGGAAAACTTAGGGGCATGTATTTTAAATGATGATGTGATTCAGTCTTTAAATGGAAAAGAAAAAAAAGTCAACTATTCATCTCATTGCATTTTCATATGTCAAAATCACCTGGAATGTGATTATGTGCTTATGATTCAGAAGTACAGGTGCTGAGACATTACTTGCCACTTAAAAAACATATATATATATATATATATATATGTATATGAAGCATGTTTATAGTTTTTATTCTTTCTATCATTATATATGTTTGAAAAACTGACAGTAATTGAGAGAGGGCCACCATAACAATTTACTTGGTAAATTGAATCAATAAATGTGCTTAAATGAAATATACTACAGAAAATAGTCTTTGATTTTTTTAAATGTACATGTTATTCTTGATAGCATTTGGGCATTGAAAGTTTTAATTTCAAAAATCAAGTCCAATGAATAAAATACATCCTAAATATGACAACTCCATCCAGAAGCAAATTAATTTTGTTACCTATTTTTATATTAATTATTCATTAAAGTTCTGACTAAAATATGGAATTACAGTATCTACTACAAAGTTGATATGAAATAATTTAAAATAGTTCTCAAGGCACTAATTTCATACAGCTCTGTAACATTTTAATGACCCTTTTGAACATTCTAAGCAATTATTATAAGAAAATAAAAAAGATGCAGTGTGATTTATTTGTTAGAAATTTATTTTGACATAAACACTTCAGTGCATATATGGGTTTGATGTTAAATACTAACAATCTACTTTTAAAATCTACTGTCAATGTTTACTTGTAATCAGATATGATTAATTTAGCCAGTTGGTTCCTGGCAGTACCTCTAGTAGTGGGAAATTATCATAAGCCAACATATCTTGATTGCAACAGCCTGTACCTTTATTGTCTGTCCAGATTCTTTTCACATCGGGTCTATAAGGAAAAACTAAGTCACAAACAGAGGTATTAGAAGATTCACAATGGGACCAGTGTTCTCTGGAACAAATCAGATTTTCAATAACTCATAAGGTAATTCGAGAGCTTCTATTATACAATCCTTCAACAAACCATTAAATTCTACAGATCTTTTTTCATTGAACAGTCCAGTCAGCATATATCTTAATATACATAATCCATACCATAAATAAAAAGTAAATTGAAGCATACGTTTAAAGCCCTTGATTTTTGTGGAAAATGTTTAAGCATGAATTAAAGTCAAACATTTATATTGGTGGATTTGGTAGCAGGGTTGGGTTCTCAAGAGAGACAACACGTTCCAAACGTGTGTTCCATTCTCCTCTCAATCCCATTCATAAAGTGCCTTTCTGTTACGCAATGGGATCATTCTGCTTGGTAATGAACACAGGCTGATGTTTAGCGTTAACTGATTGTACATACAAAGGAGAAAGCATCACTCATCTTTACTTAAAAACAAAACTTAAGCAAGGTGCTTAGGCAGAGGCACCTTTGCACCGGAGTCAAAGGAAGCAAACATAAGAATGTGACAGAAATAGGGAATCGGAACGGACAACAAATGGGCACATTACTCAGGAAAGCTCTGAGGATAGTCTTTGAAACGCAGCAGTAAACCAGTTGTGTGGACAGCGATAAAGGCTTGCTTACTTCTGGGAAGAGTCAAGCCCCAATGGGTTTGCTTTTTCCGTTGATACTACTAGGACCCTAACTGAAGAAAGAGGACTATGGGGACCCTAACACTGGCTTCTCCTTTCTTAGCGCCCTCTTAACCAAGCGGTATTCGCTGTATCCCGACTCCAGTAGAGTTCGCAACCCCGAACCTCGCCATAAGTCCGTGTGTCTGCACCGCGATCACAAACCAGGCAAGCCAGGAGGGACAATCAATGCCAATACGAGATTGCATGTTCCTCTGACTTTTGTTTGCTCAAGTTTACGTTTTAGACACTATAATCCTCCTTGTGGAGCCTAGGAAGATAATGTATACTCTTACTCGCGTCAAAACATCCCTAGTCACAGCCCCGCGGAGCGTAGAGGAACCCAGTTCTGTTCCTTGGACCAAGTCAGAACCGCATCCCCGCCGGTGGCTGCCTAAGACCTTCCCTTAGATCGGGCGCAGTTTATGCTGGGAGCGAGGGAGAAAGCATCTCTCTCAATTCCTCCCGAGGCCACACTTTCTATATAGACCCACCTGCATGGGAGCTTCGTGTCTCATTGTTCGCAAAGTGTCCTCTCTCCCTGGCTAAGACAGTGCTGGCCCGGGAGCCCGATCAAGCGTGCACAGCCCGCGCGCTTCACGCTCCACACTGCACTCTTGGGGTTCGCTAACCGGCTCCAACATCAGCACCGGAGCTGTCCCTTCCTGGCGCCGCACACGCGTACTGGCTGGGAGCCCCGCGTGCTCCTGGGAGTTGTAGTCTAACCCTGCTGAGCTTTCCGGCAAGCCGGTGAGCCGTGAACTACATTTCCCGGCAAGCCAGCATTAAAACGGGCTGCTCCTCCTGTTGGACTCGGCCGTCGAGCCTCCCTTCTCTTTCGGAATCGCTCCCGGTTGTTGCTGCTCTCAGCCTCACAGACCATTTCCTCGCAAGGTGCAGGCGAAAAGTGACCCCAGCTTATCTCAGCTGGAGATTTTTCTTTGCTACCTATCGCTTCCCGAAGCTAGATTGTGATTTTTCTTGTTAGGAAACGCACTACCTTGTGCTAATTCCCAATCTAAACGAAACCTGCGCTGCGTTCTGGAACTCTCCGCCCTACACCTCCCCATCCTGAATCGGGAAAGTTTATACATTTCCATAGGCAGAGTGGGGTGGTTTTACAATCTCGTTCACCAAACGCGGGGGAGAACGAGAATGAATGGCACACACATAAAGAAAGTGGTTTACTCACACAATTGCATCAGACACCCACGCGCGCGCGCACACACACACACACACACACACACACACACACACACACACCAAAGTCCATCAAAGCGAGATTTCGCTCAGAGCGTGCAGAGGAACTCCCTTCTGCTTACCTTTCCATACAGCTCCATTGCAACTCAAGGTTCCGAAATTCTCAGTAATCCCTCCTGCTACAAACGAGGTTAAGGTCTCACACAGGAAGGGAAGCTAAACGCACTACACAATGGAAGGGGTGGGGGTGGCGGCTGGCGGAGGGAGAAACGAGGGACTAGGGAGCACAGCTAATTTAGATAGATGGTTTCTTTTCTCTGGAGGGAGAGTGTGGAGTCCAAGTACCAGC